ATTTTGAGCGATAAAAAGTTGTTGGAAAATTCAGTTTTTATAGACTTCGTGCAATTTCATTGTTTGTACGTACTTTACATCTACATTGTACTTAATTGTATCATGATTTGTAATATTAGTTGTAGTTAGTAAATATTCTGTGACACTTTTGGGTAATTTCCAAACACTTTGTGAATTTGCATAGTAGCAATGAACGACACGGTGTGTCGCAGTCTTTTCAATAATTTGTTTGATTGTTTTGCTGTTTGCATCGCCTCTAATAAAAAGTTCTCCTTTTTCAAAAAAGATGTTCTCCTCTTTGAAAAGTTTGTTTGAATTGCCACCGACAATTTTATGATAAAATGAAATTCTGTTTAGGGTCGCGAATTTGTCATACATATCAATTGAACAATCAAAAAAAATCACAAATAACATAAACAGAAGTTTGTGAATATGAAACACATTTTTGAATTCTTATTAAAAAGTTGTAAATTTCTTCTGTGAGTCGAATGTATTGCTCGTCCAATGACCATATAACTATTTTATTTAGGTTATTTACCATATTTGAACCCCAATTCGTGTACATTTCGAGAAATTCGGTAATAATTTCAATGTCGCCTTCTATCTTTTGTAAATTAGTAAAATGACGTGCATTTTTTATAAGTGTTTCAATAAGTTTTGGATTTGAGTTTATTGGAATCTGATTTCCAACACCAAAATATATAGCAGTGACTTTTTTAAAATATCAGGAAGTTCGTTTTCATTTAAATTGTGTGTATAAAAATCTCTAATGAAATTTGGAAACTGGATGAATTTGACTTTAAATGAAATGGAAAAAACGGAAATTATATGATTTCCAAAAGCAAATGTTGTTGTGTTAAAATGTGCTATGAACCACGTGGCATCAGAATCAGTTTTAAATGTTGGAGATAAATAAAGCGAAGTAATTGAAATTGCACAATTTTTCGAAATCAAAATAAATGAATAAATTATTTCTTTGGTATTGAAGTATAACGCAACATTCATTAAATAACACCTATCTAGATGAACACACATTAAGTAATGATATTTCAGTTTGTATTTTTGAAGTATTATTTTAATACATTAGATTAAATGAAATGATTTTTAATTGGTAAGTTTTAATGAATTATTCTATTCTTATTAAATTTTATTTTTTTAATAATGATTTTTAACTTTCAAGATATCTTTAAATAAATTACGTTGTAATTGTAGGTTGTATTTTATTAAACGTGATAAAATTGTTAAATACATAAGATGTCATACATATTGATATTGTCTTTATTAATGTATATATATTTTGTTTTAAAACTTCTGCTTTTAATTAAATTATTTTACAATAACAAATGAAAAAAATTGTAATATATATTTATTACAAATTATAAAAAAGCTTAATAATACTTATTAGTAATACAATTATGTTATTTATAAAATATAAATATATAATTGTACTTTTTAAAAGACTCAAAATAAATATATTTTAAGTTGTTGATAATTGTTACATTTTTTTGAAAAAACCTTTTTTGATGTTTTTAAACACAAGCAATCACAAATTTTAGAATAGTTTTTATAAAATCACAATTATCAATAATATAATTTTGATGATAGTTTGGATTACAAATCTCAAAAGTAAAGTTTCATATCAATTAAATCAATAAAAACTTATATCAAAATTGAACATTTTTTTGAAAAGTTATAATTGTTTCAAATTAACATAAAATTAATTAATTTAAACTGATTTCATCTTAAACAGTAAACAGAATGCTTAAACTCTTACTTTCATTTATATTGTTGACAAGTTCAAATTCTTTAGAATTTTCATTTGAAGAAGATTTTGAAGATAATCCATACGGTCTCCGTTACAATCCATTACGTTCACTCCAAGGATTAGAAAACACACTTGCTTTCTTTGGAAATGAAATGACTGCTTTTCTCACTTTGATAAGCCAAAACACTCTTGTTTTTGGAAGCAGTTATATCAACAGCATTGAAAAAGTCAAGGCGTGTCTTTTAAATATGAAAGAAGAAGCAAATGTTGCAGTGAGAACAAATAATAAACTTACCACACAAGAAATGTGGGCACGTTTGTTAAGTATTTTTGGGCAATACGACTTCAAAAAGAACATGAAAAACGTGCTTGGAAAAGCTTCAGGAGTAAGAAGAAGAGTACAAGCCAATGTCAGAATCACAAGACAGAAAGAGCAAATTTTCGAAAAAATGAATTATCTTGAAACGGGAGTTCGAAATTTACAAGAAGCTTGTGAATTGTTCGACTCAGATCTAGATTTGAAGAGTAATCGGGCATTTAAAAACTTAAAACAAAAAATTTCCAAAATTAAGTGAAATGATTGTTGTTTTGAATTGTATTTTTTTGATAATAAATATTAAAATAACAATATTTATTATTATAATAATTGTGTTTTAAGTTGTCAATCAAACGTATTGATATATATAACCATTTTAATTATTCAAAAATTTTATAATTAATTTAATGTTGAATTAATTATAATTTATATAATAATATCATGTAAATATAATAAAATAAATTAAAAACATCAAAAACAACAAAAACAATTTTATATTTTTAATTCAATTAATTAAAAATGTTTTATTTTTATGTTTCATCGATTGGTATGGGTTTTATTCGAGGAAACATAACAATGCTTAACCCTACTATCACGCATACACAGAACGTACCGTATATTATTCCCAATATTTGGGTGATTTTCAGTGATCTTTTTTGTTTGATTTTTTCGATATATGTACCACGAACTAAATTGTTATTAAAATCGATGTAATAGTCTTCAAAAATGGACCGGGAATGATACTTGTTGTTGACCCAACTTATCTCAAAAGATGTGTTGAAAAATTGAATAAATGAATTTGTTTCGTTTTGTATTGGGTTAAAAATTAGTGTCACGTTTTTAAATACACAATTTGACAATAAGATGTTGAAAGGGTTGTTGACAATCAAATTACTATTTTGGAATAACGAATTGATTATTTTCAAGTTATTTGAATTATTAAATTGTATTGAAGAGTTGAATAGCTTAACATTGTTAATGTACGTGTTTTTTACATCCACAGCTGTTAAAAGTGTTCCATTTATGTCGCCATCTTTTAAAATGCAGTTTGTTATACGATAAGACGTAACATTTTCATTTAAATATTGTTTCATTTGTAGAGAGTTCGTATGTTTGACAATTTTTGTGTTATTTCTTAATAAGGTAACGTCAACTTCACATTGTGGTATGTTTAAAGCGCACGAGGTACTTAATAAAAGACAAATACATGATAACATGTTTAAAAACAAACTAATTAAGAGTTATATATTATTTCAATTAAAATTAAAAATCATATGTTTTGGTTGGAATGTAAGTCCTGTTTAAAAACATATGTATTTTATTTTACTTAAAAATAAATTTTGATTAACATTTTAAATAACATTGAACAATATTTAAAGAGTTTAAAATTGAAAAAAACTTGAATTTATAATTAATTGTTGTTTTTAAGAGTTGATTATAATGTGTATGATATTACACAAGTCAAATATGGAGAAAAAGCAAATATATTTAATTGCTTTTGTGAATTCATGTTAATTATTAAACAAAAGCATTATTTTTATTGATAGTTTAAATGATTTTTATATAAGGAATACTGTAATTTATAATTAGACGAAGTAATTATTACTATTAACACGTTCAAAACAAAAACGTAATAATATCAAATTTTTATTTTTTTATTATACCTAAACCTTTTTTTGCCTTCATACACAAAACAAATTTTTGAAAATTTTTATTTATTTTTTTATCAACTCAAATTTGAATTGTATATTTTATAGTCACACAAATAAACATGGATGAGTTTATTTGTGTTAAACAAGAGCATAGCATTAGAAAGTAAGAAAGACGGGGTTTGGGTCTAATGATGGTTTAATATATTTGGTTGTTTTTTTATTTAAAAAGTATATTGTCATTTGATTATAACGATATTGGTGTTTATATTGTCGTCATATTTGTTAATGTGACTATTTGACATTGTTTGTCATTAAGTGGATTGACGATAAAGCGTTTTTATATCAAATGTTGAAGATTATAAAGCGATATGAAATTTCATCAAAAAAGATTATTTTTGATCAATCTTAAATAATCGAGTTCTCATTTGTAAATTATTTTAAGAAAAATAAAACTGACTATTGGCCGGTTTGGGTTAGAAAGGGGTTTTGGAATAAAAATAATAAAAATTTTGATTTGGACAATTTCTTTTTTACTTATTTTTCTTCTTAAAAAAAAGTTTGGGGTGTGAAAGTGTTAAACAATTTTTTCTTTAAAAACATATTTACTCATTTTCAATTAAATACAGTTTAAGAATATATCGATTTTAACTCTCAAATACACAAATATCGACATCAAATTAAACAATCATGTATTATTTACAACACTATTTTAAATAAACAAAAAATAATATAATAAAATAATTATATTTATTTTAATATATAGTTTTCTTATAAAATCAATTAATAATAACAATATATATAATATACCAAAAATTATTTCCAAACTGTTTGCTATTTATTTAAAAAAATAATAACATTAAAACAAATCGCTTATGATAATTCAAAATTAATATAAAAATTCTATTAAAAAATAACTACACTTATTTTATGGAGAAAACAACAAAACAACTAAATAATCCAGTGATATGAGTTCTGTTTTTCTTGAGAATTGTGTAATCAGTACTCGCGTTGGTGTATGCTGTTTCGGAGGAGTGTACTCAGGCACATACAACGGCACACAAGTTGTCTTCAAAGAACTTCGCAAAATGGCAGCAGACTCTGCAAAGCTTCCTAAGTTGTCAGCCCTTGTCCCAAAAGTGCAACAAATCATCCATCCAAATGTCGTACAATTATATGGTCTATACATACACGATAATAGCGTTTACACGGTCTACAAACGATATGACGGACCTCTTGAAAAGTTATTCCGCAATGGAAAGTCCTCCAATTATGGACTTAAAGAGCGAACACATTTTATCATTGATGTTGCAACAGGAATGGAGTACATCACATCTGCACAATCCGGAGATGGAACTTTATCACTAAGAAATCTTGGATACACGAAAGACAGTAACTCTGTAATAACAGTCATCATTGGCGGTCTTGACGTGTCGTACTTTGGTAATGTCTACGACACAAGTCTTGTTCGATCTTTTGCACGTAAATGGACTTCTCCTGAAGTCGCGAAAGAGGGAGACAACCACTTGAAGTATAACGAAAAGAGTGATGTCTGGTCGTTTGGTGTGACGGCGTGGGAAATATTAAATGGCGGGAGAGTCCCGTTTGAGAACGTTTCAACTGGTGACATTCTTAAAAAAGTCGAAGAAGGCTTGCGACTTGAAGAGCCGAAAATTACACAACTTTTTAAGGAAAACGGAGGCGAAAAATTGTGGAATATCATCGCGATGTGCTTTGAAACAAATCCAGAAAAAAGACCAACTTTCACTCAAATTAAAGAACAACTTCAAAATGTCTACAATGAGATGAAAGAAGACACAAAAGAAGACTTGAAAAAGATCAAAGAGGCTGAGAAGGTCGATGAAGACGACGAGGATGAAGAGGAAGACAATTATTAACAAAGCATTGATATTTCCTTATTTAATAATATTTTATTTATTATTACAAATAATTAAATAAATAGGTATAAAATAACGTAAGTATACAATTTCAATATTGCAAAAGATAAAACAACATTGAAATAGTGATAAAATGATTTTTCATTAAATAGTATTTTCGTAAATTTTTAAGCCATTTAATTGTGTAAAAAAATTCGGTTACATTTGGAAATAGCGGATTCTTTAATTGTGAAGAACCAGAAAATTAAATTCTGGTTTTTCACAATTAATTAAAAAATAAAATTACATTAAATATCAGTGTTACGTGTGTTGGTCAACTTTGTTATAATTGTTGCAAAAAATATAAAATAACACATATAAAATGCTTGTAAAATTTGTGTTTAAAGCGAACAAATATTAGTAAAATAAGAAAAAATTGGTATATCAATTTGAAAAATGAAGTTCTTACACTATGAATTATTCGCACTTGATTGTTAGTTACAATAAATCAATAAAACAATAATATAAAAATAATACTTTCTTAATAGTTTGTTTTTATAATAATAATTTTTATTTGAATAGTTGTAAAATATATCATTTTTTTGGTTTTTTTCATTTTTTTGCATTGAAAATATTATAACCATATTATAAAATTTTTAATATTTTCCTTTTATATTAATTTTAACACTCTCACCACATGCAATTATTAGAATGGTAAATATTATTTTGTTGTAAAAAATAAAAATCGTTGTATGATAACAATTAAAAAATTATAAATTGGTTGTATTAAAAAATATGCTGTTGTTTTCAAAATATTTTTAAAAAATTTTAAAGTGTCGAAATGATTTACGAGAATCAACTGTTGCTAATATTTATTTTAATTTATAACTAGAATTAATTATTATTTAATTAAACATTTACAGTTAGTTTCAAATTAATTTAAAAATGTTCAACAAATAAATATGATTGTACCAAATAAAATAAAAATATTATCAAAATAAATTTAAAATGTTTCACAAAAAAACAAAAATGTACCTTTTTTTTCAAATGTCTCATAATTAATTATTATTGTTTCAAATAAAATTCTTTTTGTACAAATTTAAATTAAAATTGTTTCAAAATTGACATTTTTTGTTTCAAATAAAATTAACAAAAACATGAAAATTATAACTTGAATAATTGGCAAATGTTATAACTTCTAAATATATTTAACAAAATAAATGAATACATAAACACATGTTTAAACTTTATAATCAATATGAGTGACTCTATCGAATATGTGCCTAAGTCTGAAATTGCATTGTTCAAACAACCTTTTATAGGACCTTTATGTAAACCTCCAAACACTCCCCCTAACGTTTCTCCGGTTACTGAAAGTACACTTTTAGAACAACAAATCAATTATCATCCTCAATTATCTTCTCAAATGGAAGAAGACACTAAAAAACACCGAAAAAGATGTTACAATACTCTCACGGATGAACAAATTTCATATCTTAGAGAGTTGTATGAAGAAAATGAATTGTCTCAATCCGTTGATTGGTATGTAAATAAAACCAAAATACCAACAGAAAGAGTGAAATTTTATATTAAAAAATTGAAAGATGGAAGCGATATAACAAAGAAGAAGAAAGGAAGAAAACCAAAATATACAGACGACATGTTGAAAGAGGTAACTTCGCTTCTTTGTCAACAAAATATGTCTTTGAGGCAAGCCAAAAAGGCCTTAGCAGAAAAAAATTACGATATTTCTGTATCTTCATTAGACAGGTACATAACCAATGAAAAATTGATGAAAAATGTCAAACTAGATCCTCTGTCATTTACAAAAGTGTCAATACGAGGAAAAGTTGCCAACACATTAGAAAATAAAGAACTACGTGTCAACAGATTGTTAGAGTTGAAAAGTTGTCAAAAAGCCGGATTTGCTGTAGTGTTTGTTGATGAATCTCATTGGAAATTGGGTAATGTAAGAACAAAACATTGGGGTTTAAAAGGGCAAAAACATTTTAGAATTTCTCCCCTGTCGACATTCAATATTAGTTGTATATGTTCGATTGCAGAAAGTGGAGGCAAATTTTGCAGGGTGTTTAACCAAGTCGTTGATGGAGATATATTTTCTGCTGGATTTAAATTGCTTGTTGAACATTATATCTGTTTGTTTGGAAATGTCGTTTTTGTATTGGATAACGCTGCCGTACATCAAAAAGAAATCATCAAGCTTGCAGAAAATAGAGGCTGCAGAGTTCTTTTTAATGCTCCATATTCTCCAGAGTGCAATCCGATTGAAAATATATTTGGTATATGGAAAACTAGAGTTGGTAAACTCGAGAACAATGATTTAAAAGAACTGTTAAAAAATATTGGAGATTGTTTTGAAAGTATCGAAAAGTTTGATGTCAGAAAAGTTATTGGTAATTTTTTCAACGAAATAGCCGAAAGAGTGATAAAAAGAAACGATTTATAGCTAAATGTTTATTATTTTTGTTAATTTTATTTGAAACAAAAAATGTCAATTTTGAAACAATTTTAATTTAAATTTGTACAAAAAGAATTTTATTTGAAACAATAATAATTAATTATGAGACATTTGAAAAAAAAGGTACATTTTTGTTTTTTTGTGAAACATTTTAAATTTATTTTGATAATATTTTTATTTTATTTGGTACAATCATATTTATTTGTTGAACATTTTTAAATTAATTTGAAACTAACTGTATATAAAAAATAAAATACTATTATTAATAGAATATTAATAACATACTATAGAATTAGTCTTCTTCTTTATACATATAGGCTTGGATATCACCATCTTCATCTTTTTCATCATTTGAATATTCAACACCACATTGATCAACGTCTTCATCAATCATTTGTTCTATTTTGGTTACTATATCGCTTGTATCAATTTTGTTCATTACTTTCTTCATATGAGGTTTCTTGTACTCCTTTTCAATACAACCTTTCTCTTGAATGAGTTCCCAAGTCTTATCTGTTTTTGACCAATGCTCTTCTGTTAGTATATCTGTCTGTCGAAGGGAGACGCAATACCAATGTACTTCTACAGTCAGTTTCATATCTTTTCTCCAATTAAAATAATAATTCAATATTTCCTTTGTTAGATGTACTCTGGCTTCAGCATCTGTTTGATAATATTGTGGATATCTCCTTCTTTTCGATCTTAAATATTCATTCGCAAACACCATTTTGTCTTGTTCTAATTTTAAGAAGAAAACGCCTTCCATGTTTATTGTGTAAATTGCTTTGATGTTACATCCGGTGATATTGACTGCATTACAATCATATGGAATTCCAACATACTCCAAATTAGTTTGTGCGTTCAGAACCAAATCTTTTGTATTTAAGACAACAACATTGCGGTTTCTTTTCTCATCACGAAAAGTATCATCTGGTGTAACATCAATTTTATTTGTACATTTGATGACGAGAACATTCATTTGGCGTTTCATTGGTTTAAACGATTGAATAACACCAGAGAGTTTCACATTATATCCAGAACCATTCACTGATAATCCATCTCCATTCCCATGAATTGTAACACGCCCATAGACATATGGAAGATTTATAGTTCCTTTCCTTTTCAAATTGGTTACTGTAACATCTTTGAGATACACACAGAACGTCAGGTCAATCGCTTCAAAGTCACTTTCAATGTTTACATATTGTAAATTTTTAGCATACGAAAAGTCATAAGTACACATCATACTCGACTTCATTTGAAATGATGTGATTTTTTCGTTGAATTTAAAATGAAGTAAATCCATAAAATTGCCCTTCAAATATAGAGAAGAGCACTGTAACACATCTTCTTTATTAATTTTACACTCTTTATTCTCAGGACTAACAATTTTCAATTGCTGGACTTTCGGTAATTTCAAAATCACTTTATTTGCTTGAATTGTAACCTTCAAAGACGATATCTTTAAATTGGTAAAGTCAAACAAGCCGCCACTTTTTATCACAAATTTAGCAATTGAGTACTGTTCTGAAGATTTTTGAAATACGAGTGGTTGGCTCAACGTTTTTATTATCGAGTTTTCACTTCCGAGACATTTTTCTTCATATTTTCTTTCAACGATGTTCTTATAATCTTTCCAATGGAGTTGCGTCACATTTTCTTGTTTTTCGATAGACATGCCATCATCAAACACAACAGTAAAATTGATGGTTTTCAACTCGTTCATTGCATATATAAAGTTACGAGCAATTGATAATATGTCTTGTGTGTAGAACACCACATTCCACAAAAATGCAATTGAGTCAATCCGTCAAGATTCAAAGTATTTGTCAC